AAAAATTATCCACTTATCACTATTTGTGAGGTTTCAAGTAAATAGAAAACACACTGTTATTCTTTCTTCCTAATCATTCAGGGACTATTCAACACATTTGAATTAAATTAAATCATTGCAATATGTTAAATTATTAAACACACCTAAAATAGTTTCTGCTCTCATCCTCTTATATCATCATCCTTTTGGGTACCATCAAATATTAATATATACATGTCAATAAATAAAGAAAACAACTGAGCACCTACTCTGCTAATGAACTGTTGAAAGGCTACATCTATGCATTTGGTATTTAGCTCCAAAATGTAACAGGCTGAAAACCTGCTTTTTTTTTTTTCCAAACCTCTCATCCTCCCTAAACTATTTGTGTAGTGGAATTTTGGGGTCACACTGATGCTATGACACCCAACATGATGCAACCTACTAAAAAGAACACATTACTCCCGTTTATGCAAATTTGCCACCACCAATCAACTCTACAAATAAAAAAAAAAATTGTAACTTGTACACTCCACTGGCCATACACCATCATTTTAATCCTTTTCTATATTCCATGAAAAGGATAGAGCAGCGTATAATTGGAAAACTCAACAGCATATTTCATATTCAGAGATATCCTGTCTTTATTTCTATTATCAACACAGAATCACAGGGTTAAGTGGCCCTCAAATGCGTTAAGAAGGGGAATTACGCTCCAGTGCTGGTGTTCAAATTGGCTCAGCAAGCACGGAAAGTAAATTTTGTATCCTGCCTAGGCTTGTTCAGCAGGGAGCTCACACCTACCACCCCTGTGCATTCAGGCTTTCCTGACAGGAATTAGTATTGGAAAAGGTGAGCTGGGGAAAGGACCAGGTGTGTCCTTTGGGACACTTACCAACCCATCCTAACCTGCATCAAAGAAATGAATAAAATGTCCTGCTGCAAATAGAGAAAAGCTTCTAATCAGCTCCAGATACTAGCCCAGCTGCCATATCTTACTGCTCACCTCCACCACACATACACCCCTGCCCTCACACCCTCTCCTCATTTCAAGGTAACTTCTGGATTACATGAGAGCTGCTTCGCCCAGTAGCTCCCAAACCTTTTACCATCGGGCCCTGCTTGTATCAAAGGAAATGAGCCCAGGCCGCCCCCCCCATGTACTAGAGACATTTGCATATAATCGTATATCGGCCTTTTGTGGCATACCTGGGTACTAAAGGGCATTGAGCAACTAAAGGCCGCAGCACAGCTCAGCAAGAGAGAAGAACTGGTTTCTATGCCCACAGCTTGTCTAGAGAGGACAAAAGTGACCCAAACTGAAACCTGAGAGCAGCCTGTAAGTTCCTCCATGGGACCAGGCCTCCAGCAGAACATCTACTGGGAGGGGGCTAGGCAGCAGACTGCCCCTTGCACCACCCTGCCAACAAAGCACGGGGGCAACTGGCTGCTGCCTCCTCCCTCACTGGTATCACACTGGTTGGGCATCTGCAAGGAGGATGCGAGGAGAGCAGAGGAAAGACAGCCCCTGCTGTCAGTGGAATGGCACCTGGCGGCCAGGAGCAGTCACTGCAGAGGAACATCTGCTCAGCCCTTGCAGCTGTGCTGAGTGCATGGGAGAACCCTTAGCTGAAGCTGGAAGAAGGAAACACAGAAATCTAACACAAAATCCCAGGCAGCCATCTTTTAGTTATAAGAGTGTAAATAAACAAGTGAAGCAAAAGTTTTAGGTCCCACTGAAACACTGCACAGGAGGCCAGGCCCCACAGTTTGTGACTGTCTGATTTAGGCACCGTGTATAAATACAATAGAGGCAATATCCTTTTAACTAATGCATCATGTATTGGGCATGATCTCCAATACACTCTGCCCAGGCAGGAACAGCCCCTCATTTATTAAACACTTCCTACATGAATGATAAATATTGTAAACATATACCCAGTCAGTACAATGGGTCCAGTTCCAGACTTGGCTGCATCCCCTTTAAGTGGCTATGCAGAGCCACCACACATTAGAGCAGTCTCGGAGGCTGCTCTAAGATATGCTGCATGCCACATCGGACCCTGCAGCAGTAGAGCATATTGGAGGTGTACAGCATTGACAAATCTTGTGATTTTACTAAGAGTCTCTCAAGAGTTGGTGTCTTAAAACCCCAGCTGCTGGAGTCTTGTGATTACATACAAATCTCAGCTTTCATTTAAAAAATAAATAAATAAGTAAAACTTTTTAGCCCTCCCATGGTTGTGGAGTAAAGCTTGAAAACATGACACTCTAAAGACTCAAAAAACAGAGAGCAAAAATATGATTTATGAGATTTTTAAAATCTCATGATTTTGGAGCAGGATTTGTGAATGCTTGGGACTGGCAATACTGGGTGTAAGGTCACCTTTGCACCATCCTTCCCACTCTCCTCACCTCCTGTGTTGTACCTAGAATCTGATCCAACATTTTCAAGCTTTATTAAACTTAATTTATATCTTCTTAAACTATCTAACTACAAAGACTGACTCACTATGAACCAAGTTACCTTTCTTCCTTTTACATATAATTTTCTTTTACCATGTCTTTTCTTCTGTGGTCAAGTATGACAATTTTAGGGGAAGTTGCCACACCTTGAACAGTTTTCCTTTCTAAAAGTTCAGTAGCTAATGCAGTGAATGCAGAATGCTGATATTAATTTAACAAATTAATATTAACATTAATTTAAACAAAAGTTCGTATTATAATCTTGATGGCCATGGGGTGTGACAACCTGTAATTTTAATATTTCAAAATCTTTTTGTAGCTCTGCATGTTGTATATCACAGAGTTCTCATAAAACACATAAAAACCATCACTCAGTGGAGCTACACTGATTTTATACCAGCTGATTATTATGTATTTGTATTGTGGTAATACCTAGAAGTCCAGGTCGTAGACCAGAACCCTATTACACGAAGCACTGTAAAAACACAGAACAAAAAGATGGTCACTGCCCCATTAAGTTTACAATCTAAAATGAACTGCTCATCTAATCTAAACTGAGAATTTGGTCCTTACATATATTAGCAGAATGGTTAAATATTCCTTTGACACTATTAGAACTATTGCTTGGCTGTGACCAAGACTGACTGGAAAAATTATTGACTTTGTCCCTATAGCAACCAGATTAGATCAATGTTTTGATGTCCTTGGATGCCTTCCAGGTAAAGTAATGTACTGACTTCTGAATGTATTATCAAGGCTAGTCACCCAGACTACATGCCTGCTCAGTTTTTTTCTTTTTCCAAAACTAAAAGATACACACTAGTTTCTTTTAACCTGTGCATTATACAAAAGTGAACATAAATCACGCAATTAAGAATTAAGATTTTCAAAAACAACATCCTAATGACAGACTTCTAAGTCCATATTTAAGCACCTAAATAAGTGATCTGATTTTCAGAAAGTACTGAGCCCTCACGCTCTGAAAATGAGCCCTCTCTAAGGTGTCTCAAGCTGAGTACCCAAAAACTGACAAACACAAAATCTCCAGACACTTTGAAAATCTTACTTCTAGAAGCTTAACTTTAGGCTTCTATTTCTGAAAAACTCTTAGCTTTAGTGTTTGCTCTTGAATTTCCCTGTTATTCCCACTTGCCATCTGTTACTGAGGATCTACTGATTTCAAGGCTAGTGGTTTCTGTCTACTATCTTAAGAAATATGTCTTTAGTGCTTCTAAGCATATATTTCCAGTTCTGTAATTCTGCCCCAAAGGTTCTACCAGGGTCTCACTTCTTAGTCCGTTGATGTATTCTGACTGTAATGAAGTCAAGTGCAAAAGGAAAAGATATCAGTTAGAAAGAAGTTTAGCTTTAGATCATTGTAAATAGTAATTAATTACAATTCATAGCTCAAGAAACATTTGTGCAGATCAGGATGACAGAAGACACTTTGCAGATTCGTTTTTTGCACCAGGTTCATCTGTCTTCAATGTTTTCCCTCAAATAAATCAAAGAGTAACTTCACCACAACTGAGCCATTGTGAAATCCTTTTACAGGCAGTGATGCAGCCCGTTTCCCCCTACAGCAGACAAAAAACTGAAAAATCAGCTTTGTAATGGACTTGATCCTGAAATCAAGATCAGTTTTTGCATGCAGAAAGACTGTAGGATTGGCTATCAAAGAAACCAAGCAAGGAAACATAGCATACCATAAACATTTAAACAAAACTCCCTATTAATGTGCAAGACAAGTACTGCTATTTCAAAAACACATTCCAAAATTTATCCAGGGAGACAAGTTTCGGGGGAAAGAAATTCTTCTCAGTCCTGCACACTCCAACAAATGGTTAAGGAACCTTTAGCTTTATCATTTTTAGAGCCCAATTCTGCCTCCCTTACTCAGATTGACCAGCACCTTATGACTCAAGTAGTCCCAATGAAATAAAGGGGACTGCTTGCTTTGTAGTGTGTGACTCAGTGTGAGTGAGGGGGGCAGAATCTGGTCTTTAATGAGTTTGTGGGGAAGCCAGAGAGATTTTATGCTCATTGAGGCCCTGAAATATATATCCACAGGGGACGGAGACAAGAAATAAGAAGAAAATGCAGCAAGACTAAAGTATTATCTAAAGCAAAGACTCTTTAGTGCTTTCCACTAATAGCACATAAAAATTAGGCAAGCAAAGGTATTTTTTAATTTGCAGAGATACATAATAAATTATAGGAATTGTGTAACCCTTTAATATTTTCCTTGACAATTGTTTACAGTAACATGTGTTCAGCTACAGAAAACATAAGAAACTGTGAGAAAATCTGTTCCAAAAAAGGCAATGACTCTGTAAATACCATGAAGAAAAGCTCAGTACTGTGTTTCACTTTCCATTTGAAAAGCCTCTGGCGAGATATTTACAGAAGTCTGTGTACAGTACAGAAATAAATTAACTATATCTGATACTATTTTTATGTTTCATTGGATTTCAGATTTTCACTCAACTTACTCACAGCCACAGACATTTGTCAAAAACTGTCATGAAAAGTTACATGAAACTTGCGTAACTTACCGTGCAGTGAAATCTGAAGATCATCTATTTCCGTGGAAGATTGCTCCTCAGCTGATGGAGATGATTTCTTGCATGCCATATTAAACTCCTTGAAGATTGTATCATTCCCACATTATTTCATCTGACAAACTGAAATGAGAAAGAAAAAGAAAAGTTAGGAGATCAGCACCTCTGTGTTTTCATTAAGAACTGGTGCTCTTAAATGCTATAGTCTGATAGGAGACATGCTTTATTCTTTTTCCTGCTAAGGTGTTTCCTTAGCTTATGTAGAACAAAGTGACTACGCCTACTTTTTGAATCATAAAGTTATTGTCCCTTGGCTTTATTCAGGTTATTTCCAATGGCTGGCTGAACTCCAGAATTCAAATCATGGATTCAAATGTGTCTTGTCATAAAAAGGAAAGCACTGCAATTAGAAAGATTCAAAACACTGTAGGCTTTTTGTAGGAAATCAGGTTGACAAAGGCTCATGTACATTTGTTACAGACTAACCCAAAAGGTTTTCTTTAAATCTTTATATTTTACAGACTTCTTTTCCTGCTTGGTAATTGTTAGAACACACTGAAAACAATAGCAGCTGAGCTTGCAAAGATTACACAATTAAAGTGTAACAAAAAAGGTGATGGTTGACATAACAGAACAATCATTCTTGCTGTTCCTATCTGTATCTTAGCTACCCCCTTCTCCCACAAAGTCTATTTCTCACAAAGGAGTTTTAGTTTCTAGCGCTCGTTTTTTCCCTTCTGTGGATGCCTCCCCCATCTCTAATGCCATCTTAGAGAACAATATACAGTATCCTTTTTAAAAAACATAGTGTTATGTATGTGACTCTAGTAACTACATTGTTTAACCTGACAGTGGGAGAAAAACTGGCCTCTCAAATACAGACTGATATTTTTATCAAAAAGTTAAAAAATTAAATAAAGTCAAACAGGTCTGTTCTTAAACTCTGTTCACAAACAACAGTACGTTTTCAGCACCAAGTATAACGAGTGGCATTCCCAATTCTTATTATTTATTAATATTTAGTTTTGTGTATCTAAACTCCTAATCACTATGCTGAAAATTAACCTCTCCTTTCTGTGTTTATTTGGTTCGAACAAAAGGCTAACATTTAAGACTGCGAAACACTGAAAAAACATTCTGCCTTTCTTTCCTACATACATAGGTGCTGGAACTATGGGTGCAGGGGGTGCTGCAGCACCTCCTGGCTTGAAGTGGTTTCCGTTATATACAGGGTTTACAGTTTGGTTCAGTGGCTCTCAGCACCCCCACTACACAAATTGTTTCAGCACCCCAGCCTACAGAATCTTAAAAGAATGTTCAATCAAGAAGAAAGCTTGCTCCCAGTTTTCAGTGTTCCTTTAAGAGTGAACGCCAAACTTCTAAAAACGAAACAGTTGAAATCCCCAAACAATGAGAGGATACGTATATACTGAATACCAATGTTTCCTGTCTTCCATGGGCCTATTTCATGAGGTGATACTACACTAAAAGCCAAAACCTGTTCATCTGACTCATATGACATTGAAGTCAATGTGCTTGAGAACATGCGGAGTAGGATTTGGCCCTAAAGTTCTACGGTGATTATTTTTCCAATGTATTTAAAAGACAAAAGGTGTTTATGGAAGTCTCAATAAAAATCAAGACATTTTAAATGTTAAAGAGAAAGTGTAATGCAGCGGACAGTGCCCTAGACTGGGAGCAAGTAGACCTGGGTTCTATTCCCAGCTGTGCCACTAACCTGCTGTGACATACATCATGTCACACTCTGTGCCTCAGTTTCCCCTCCCACCCTTTATCTCTCTTGTCTATTTAGACTGTAAACTCTTGAGGGCAAAAAACTCTCTTACTATGTGCTCTCTAATCTCAGGTGGTGTCTCTAGGTATTACTATAGTACACATAAATTAATCATAATAATTTTAACCAACCTATACTGTACTTGGATTTATTACATATCCAAAATGAAAACCCAGTGCAATATCTGCCTCATAAATTTAGGGCTAGATTGCAACCTTCTTACTCACATGGAGTAGCATCTGACACCAAAAATAGTACCTTTGACTTCAGTGGGACTTCACTCAAAGTAAGATACTATTCAGTGTGAGTAACTGTATTATATCTAGCCTTAATAAATCTACTGCACACACTAGGTTAATAAGATTGATTGCTATTGCTTTCCTGTTCCTATTAAATATTTCCTTTTTTATTCTACATTTACACTGATCCTTTTATTGGATAACTATCTGACACAATTATGTGTAGCAGTTCCTTATAACAGAATGTATTAAAGGGTAATTATGTAAAAACTATGTTTTAAAAATATTAAAAGCTTTTGAATGGCAGTGTGCCATTTCAGTATGGATAGAAACCTCAGTTGAAGAAATTACCTTTGCCTTTCCATCTCGCTTGAAAGTTCAGGAAAGCATTTAAGCTTCTGTAAGTATTGCCAATCCCATGAGCTCAAAAAATCGTGAGTCAAACTCAGAAAAATCATGGGACTATCTTCAAAATCATGAGAGATAGCAACACTGTTTTAACTCCCATGTCCCCAGTGAGACTTACGTACATGCTTAACTTCAAGAGAGATGACCAGATAACGGTGCTTTCTTAAATAGCCTTTATGACTACATTCTAGACTCTGAAGAATGGAGAGTCTGAGATAGATTTAGAGGCTTCACCAGTGGAGATTTCAGAGCTTTAAGTGTATAATTTGTATCACTGCATTTTGTGAGTATATTTTTATTTACTCCAGAGACAGTCATGATATTTAATTTTATGAAAAAAAAAGAAGTTACCAAATGTAGAATCCATATGATTTATAGTGGAGATGATGCTATTCTCAGCAAAATCTGTGTAATTATGCATTATAATTACAAATTAATTTATCAGTTTAATAATGTGCGTTTGCAGTAATTACACAGGTTACCTGTGTAACATTGTGCACTTCGACTGAGTCTTCCTATGGGACCCAATCCTAAAAATCCTGAGCTCACACAGTAGAGCTCAGAGATGGCCAAAAGTGAAATAAGGGCCACAAACCCATGCAGCCAAGCTACAACCTGCTGGGTATGGGTGTAGAGTGGATGACAAAGCCCTCTGAGCCACAGCTGTATTGGTTCTCTCCTTTGTGGATCCATGCCCCCAACATGCCCCTTTCCCCGCACCTTGCAGGGTCAAGATCCACAGCAGAGTTCTTCCCATGTGGAAGTGACCATGGTACCATCCAGCACACAGGGTTTCTACTGCGTTTGGTCCAAATGTGCACGTTTGTGATCTCAGGATTAGCACTATGGTTATTAAATAACTGGAAAACAATCCTGCCTCAAGTGAGCCTGAGAACGTTCTGTTGTTGCTGTTATAATTTGGATGCATTGTTTGAGCCTGATATTTCTATACCCAGTAGGTATGTTTCACTTGTCATATGCTACATGCAGATTTCCAAATCTGGGACTGATGTGGATTTAAAATCATTGGGATAATGGAAGTAAATGACCCAGCTCCTAAAAACTTAGGTCTTATCTACACAGGGAAATTTACTAGCATAACTATACCAGTATAATTACGTTGCCAGTAAATTTCCCCATCTAGACAAGTTCTAATTAGATTAGAACTCATACACAGACGATTATATTGCAAAGTTGTGGGTAATATTCTTACTCTCTGCTTGTTTATTTATAAGCAACTATTTCTAGGGTGCTCATTGCTATACAACTAATACGTGGCAGCTGATAAACTAGTTTGGCTGCACACATTATGTTGATGTTGCAATGGGAATTACAATTACTCCTTTTCTTTTTACTCATTCCTACTGTGGATCCTCAGATTGCTTGTTCTTTTTTTCCTCTTCTCTTCAGTGCCACTGATTATTTATGACACACCCAGGAATTCTGAAAGTATTTCCCTCTGCAGAGGCCTCTACATATAAACTCAAGCCTGATCCTAGCAACAGATTATTATTAAACATGAGTCCAGTTGGAGCAGATGTCATGGATAGAAACAGCTGATTTTTGTCTTTAGTGTTTTTTTTCATTGTAGAGTTCTATTTGCTGCCTAATAATTAACAGAGATTTTTTATATTTTTTTTGGAATACATTAGAATAGAATCAGTAGTATCTATACCTATAATGAGTTTTGAGCTCATTTCTCAATGGGAAATTTTCAAGACCATGTCATTATATATGACTGAGAGAATTCCCACAGACATCACAACAATTAAGGTTCTATAGGTATTTACATTTTCATCCAAGTTCTGATGGGTTGATACATCTTTTGTTTTAAAGTAATTTATAGCATGCTGAGATGTGACCTACAGGTTTCTGCCTCAACATTATATTTACCATTTTTCAATAGGTTTACTTACATGAAAAATCATCAGGGGGTTAGGTATTTTTACATGCACTTCTCTGAGACCCTTGCAACAAAACACCCTCAGCAGGGTGGACTCCTGCTCTAGACTGAATGTAAAAGTAGTTCATTTCCAGAGAAAAATGCTTGGAATGTACCCAGGGGCTTCTGAGGAGATATTGTCTTGACAACCTTTCCAGTTCTACAGCACCCAGCTGGAACACTTCTTCATCGTAAATACACAACTCCCTTTCCCCAAATGATATTGAGCCAGTTCCTCAGCTGGTACAAATCAGCTAGTTCCACTGAGGTCAACAGAGCTACGCTGATTTACTCCAGCTGATGCTCTGACCCATTATCTCCTTGACTGGCTTCATTTTCCATGAAAAATAAAACATGTCACATACTTTCATCATTCAATAAGCAAGAATTCAACTTCTTCCAGGAAAGTTAAAGGTAAGATTTAAATCCATTAAAAGCACGTTAGTTCTGAGTAGCACAGTCCCCATGTTTTCCCAAGAGAAGTAACTGCTTCCCATCAGGACTCTAGCCACCCTGAAATTGGTAGTGAGGATGGTCATGACCGTGTCCCTACTCCACACAAGTCCCTGCTGCAGAGGACAGTGTATCAAGCTCTCCATTAAACTGTGCTCCACATGTGAGTTGGGAAGCTCTGAACCATCGGAGACAACTTTGCCTCTTCCCTCAGAGAAGTGAGCATGGAAAAGTTCAGCCATCCTAACTAGTTCTGCTCAGGCACAGTGGAGAATCAGTTGGGCTC